TATTATTATTATTATCAAACCTTTATTTCACCAGGAAAATCCCATTGAGATTAAAAATCTCTTTTGCATGGGAATCCCGGCCAAGAGTGGCAGCAGTACACAGAGGTCACAAAATATTCACAGCAAAAATAGAAACAGCACCATCATATAGATTAATAAAGTATTCCTCAGTTAAAACATTTACAAACAGATTATTAATTCCCAAAAGCAATAAGAACAGCCTTAAAAACATTCAGTGACAACAGCCCCTTTAGGTTCAAGTATCTCTGCAACTGATTCCAAGAAGAACAAGCAGAAAACTGATAAGATTTCTTTCCAAGTTCAKTTCRGACTTTAGGYACCAAAAGCAAAAATAAATTCTCTCATCGAAGAGAGTATCCTCCAGTAGACTTTCTATTTATGTAGRYCAACAAATATGGAAGAAGTCTTAGTATGGCCTTATAAATAAAAACATACCAATGAAGAAGTCTACGAGTGTCCAARGCTGTCCAACCAACCCGACTGTATAATGWGCAATGATGTGTAAAACCTTTTAAACCTGTTATAAATCTTAGAGCTCCATGATTCAACACAATATTATAATAACACATACTGATGTTGAAGCTAACATGTAGATCAGTTTGAGGACGCTCAACAGTCTGAGTGAAAATTAACTTAAAGGATTTTCTATCAGAAACATCCAGTGAGAAACAGAGCAGCAGATGTTTTCAATTCACTCACACACAGAAAAATAAAAAACAAAACACTACAATTTCTGGTCAGGGTGAATTGTATTAATGATGACATTCAGCAGTAACACAATCAGATAAGTTGGCATCTTAATTTTAAGTCCAAATATAATATAATAATTACAACAATAACATTTTTAAGTGGGATTTAGTTGAACAAATAACATCTTACATCAATAAATATAAAGATGCATTTGACCATGTTAATGAGCTAATGGCTAGTCTGAATTAGATCAAAGTAGGTTGCTTCCATTTCAAAATAGCATCATCTCAACAAAATATCAACAATTTGTCTGAATACAATTTCAAAAACATTTTCTCTGTCATCTGTTTATTTACATGGAACTCTGTTTTTGTGCTAATAAGCAGGAGTTAGCTGTAGCACTTCTGGTTCTGCCTGAGGCACTTCCGCTAGTATTTTAATATTTCTGCAGAAATAACTGAGTAATGCAAAACTGAGATTGAGACTGATGAAACTCTGTCTGATCGTAATTAAACCTTTTCTCCAAACCACAGTTGTTTAAAAAGCTACCTACAACAGATAAGATATTGTTCCTATTTTTTCCATGAAACCCACTTTAAAAGATCTCAGCCATACAAATTTATAGCTAAAAAGGTCATCACACTAAATCAAGCTTTTTTTAAAAAAACATTCCTGCAGCACAGATTAAAGTCATTTAACATCCTTGACTTTGACCCAGGATCTGTTCAGTTTAATTGTCTCAGTTTTGTGAGTAGATATAATATAGTTTGTCAACAAATTAGTCATTCCTGCAGCCATCTGAAGATATAAACAAACCCTCTCATTTTTTTTTATAAATGATCACCAACTGGCTTAACTCTTGGTTTTATTTCTAATCCAGTTTCACTCCATTGACTGTTGCAACTAAAATCTTCCTAAAGAGAAAAACAAAAGCATTTTTAAAGTTACATTTGATACACTACAAACATTTAACCAGTTTTAATCCAGATTCTCATGTAAAGAACACACATAACTCAAAAAATACTTTAATAGGTTTACATATGATGCAAAGCGTATTAGAGAAATAAACGTTTCTTTTGCTTTCAAGTGTTGAGGATTACCGTCTCAGCCTTCGTTCTTTGAGATGTAAGCTGCTTAACCTGCTGGGCTTAAGTAAAAGTGCTCAACAGGGCTGTAGACATTTGCATAAAATTGGTCCTGGAAAACACATAATTGATGCAGTTTTAAGTGTTAAGTATCTGAAACTATATTTTAAAACCCAAAGTAACCAAAAATTTCATTTTAAACACGTGAATTTTTACCAATTTAAACCAAACCACATTTCTGCATTTTTTAATTTAACCACAGGAAGTATTTGTTTCACTCTCATTAAGATTCTTTTTCGTGTGTTGGAAGTTTCAAAAGATACTTTCTGAAAATTAAACTGGATTGTTTCACTATATCAGGTGAACTTTTCACATCTGAAATTGTTTAGAGGCAGAATTTTCTCAACCAAGAAATAACCCTCTGTAAAATTACAAACCGTCATTCATATAAATTTGCAACGTTTCTAATTAAGTTAGATGATTGTAGATGGACTCAGATGGACTGGAACTGAGATGGACTCTGATGCTAAACAACCTAGAGTTCAAATTATTTATGTATTTATTTTTATTCAACTAGGCAAAAACTGAGATCCCAGAAAGATCCCAGAATCAACAAACCCAGGGCTTGAACCCAGGAGCTTCTTACTGTGAGGCATCAGTGCTRGCTAAGCCATCATGCTGCCCTCAGTGGAGAAATTATTTGGAATCAGGTCAGATCAATTTATAGAAAAACAGAATATTTTAATAGTCAGTATGGGTTTAGAACAAATAACTYGACATCAGTGGTTCTCATGGAATAAAAACGTTCAAGAAAAGTCAAAGATGTGGAAGGTCAAAGGTCACAGCTGTGTGTAGAAAAAAATGATTCATTTTTGTGTTGCTGAATGTGCAGGTTTGTTTGTTTGTTTGTTTGTTTGTTTGTTTGTTTGTTTGCTTGTTTGTTTATATAGAGACAATGTACATTTCATTACCCTTTTACAAGGAGAGATGTGTGGTACCAGGTTACAGCAAAGAACGCTAATTTCCACCTGCAGCCCCTGGACAGGTTGATGTAATCAAACATAATTTCACAAACTAAAAAAAAGCCAATTCAGTAAATGATTACATACGTATTTAAAAAAGTCAGTTACCCAAATCTCATTAAAACGAAACTACAAACAAAAACAAACTCATAAGACATTCTCTTTGCCTTCAACARTAATGAGTACAAATCTGCTTATTTAACAGCCATATTKTTGCCAGATGTGCAAACATTTTATAAGTGGAGCATGTTATAACGTTCTTTGGCAAGCTATTCCAATGATTTGTGGCGACAAAGGAGAAAGAGGTTTTGTTAAAAACAGTTCTACATTTTGGGATGCTGCACTCACCTCTKGTTGCATATAATTCAGAACAATCAGTCAAATCCATCCTTCGCCCCCATCCCTCCGTCTTTTTGTTTGCACTTATTTCCCTTTCTGAGTCACAGGGCCGATGGTACCTACCTCCAGCAGTCATTGCGAGAGGTGGGGTACACTCTGGAAGAGGTCGCAAGTCCTTTTACAGAGCTGTCAGTACAACTACTAAATCTGATTAGTTACAGGAGTCTAAATGTTAGAAGACACAAATGTAGATCTGACTTGGACAGTTTTACAAATATCGAGCTAAAATTTAAATAGAATAGAATAGAATAGAATAGAATAGAATAGAATAGAATA